GGGAGTGGCCCAGATCCTTGGGCTGGCTTGTCCCAGATCATTAGCAGGGAACAGGATGTGAAGCCAGGCAGCTGGGATTCAAACCAGTGCTCGTCCAGGACTTGGCAGGTGGCACCATGCACTGCAGCCCTGGTCCCCTGTTTGCTCTTCAGCTGTGAGGGTATTGGAGTATCAGCATACATGTATGCCTGTTATTGAAGTTTTGGTATCCAGGGTGCTGCCTTTGACATGGTAATGGCAAAACATGATGGCTTGGTGAGCACCCATAAGGAGGCCGAGATTCTTGGGGATGTGGTCGCGTGGTTGAACCATGACGGTCATACTTACTCATTGTCCCATATCTACGAGTGTGGCCTTTTACATCAGGTCCCTATGCACTCCACCTGTTGTGCAGTAGGCCTTAACTACATTCCACACATTTCTACAGTAGATAAGCCTCTCCGCCCTCCTTGTGAGCAGGAATTCAGTGTTTTATTAGGTGCAGGGGCCCAGGGACTCGATCTGTCACCCCTCTGGGGTACTGGCACTAGCATGCAGAGGATTAGCGTGCTTGCTACCAGGCTGGCTCTGATCTTCAGGGGCCTTTTCATTTTTCTGTGACAACAGGAGTGTCAACTTTCAGAAATTTGTATGGAGAAACTTAGCTTGCACATAATATGTTTTTTTTTGTTTTTAAGATTTTATTGGAATGACAGGCAGAGTGTGAAGTAGAGCAGACATGACACAAACTGGCACCCATGTGGAATGCTAGCAGATGCAAGAGGATTTAGCCACTAGGTTATTGCACTAGCCCCAAGATTTTTAAAGATGCTTTTTATTTGAAAGAATTACAGGGAGAGACAGATGTTCTGTCTGTATCAGAACGCCCAACTCAAATAGCTGCTTCTTCGAATCCAGCTTCCTGTTAACAGGCAGCAAGTCATGGCTTGAGGTTGAAAGGTGTGGATCGAGTATGGGCTCCTGCCTTACGCCTGATCCAGCACTGGCTGTTGGCATTGGGAGACTATGCAGGCTGATGAAAGATCTTCTAAGAGTTTTTTTTTTTTTTTTTTTTTTAAATTGAAAAGTAGGAGAGATGTTCCATCTACTAGTTCACTCCCCAAATGGTCACAACAGCTGGAGCTGAGCTCATGCAAATCCAGGAGCCGCTTCTAGGTCTCCCACATGGGTGCAGGGTCACAAGCAGGGAGCTGGATGGGAAACAGGGCTGCCAGATTAGAACCTGCACTCGTGGTATTCTGGTGCTTGAAAGGCAAGGACTTCAGTCACTAGGCTACCACACTGGGGCCAAGATTTATTTTTGTTAGAAAGTCACATATAGAGGAGAGACAGGAAGATCTTTCATTGGGATGATTCACTCCCCAAGCGGGCCACAACGGTTGGAGCTGTGATGATCAGGAAGCAGGAGCCTTTTCCAGGTCTCCCACGCGGGTGCAGGGTCCCGAGGCTTTGGGCCGTCCTCAACTGCTCTCCCAGGCCACAAGCAGGGAGCTGAATGGGAAGCAGAGCTGTAGGGATTAGAACTAGTGCCCTTATGGGATCTCCACGCGTGCAAGGCGAGGCCTTTAGCTGGTAGGCTACTGTGCCGGCCTACGTCAGGTCATTTTATAACTTCTTGTATCCTTAGGCCTTGGGAGACTAATAAACTTTAATATTCTAAAGTCTTATATCACCACAAATGGTAAAACTTATTAGGAATTTTCTTAATATTGTTTATTAAGAATTTTCTACCTCGTTTTCTTGGGGAAACGTTTCTTATTTTAATAATTCCTTTTGCAAAGGAGGCTACTACTATTCCTTGGAGAGCAGGTAGGTGGGTTTTTTGTTTCCTCAATCCGGGCATAGTGCATTGAACTTGAGAAAAGGAGTGTCTTAGACCTCCTAGTCTTAGTTTGAAGAGGAGAACCCGATAAGGAGCTAGGAATCCAAGGCCTCTGCCTCGCCCCAGGGTGGTGAGGAGGGAAGCGGCACCCAGACCCCCATCCAGGGTCGTGCATTGCCCTTCTGTGTATCAGCACTTTGCGTAAGGGAAGGCACGACAAAGCCATTTTCCATACTTGAAGCCTGTTGCTTTGCTTAATGTGAGTTTTGAGAGGCAACACCTCTTGCTGTCCTTTCCAGCTTTGATCTGTCTTGTTTTGTGAAGATACACTTAAGAGGAGGATGGGCAGATGTGTGCTAAATTTGGCTGTAGGAGTAATGGATGCAGAATGTTTGAAGATGGTCCTTAAGTCACAAGTGATTCTCTCGGGATATATAGAGATGTTGGGCTGCACAAGTCTTCCAAATAAAGATTTCCAAATAAAATTTTAAAGTCATGAAGGATCTTGATAAATTTTAAAAAATGCACATTAGCATATCTGATCTGTATTGATCTTTGCAGCAAAGTACCTTTTATTCTAGTTTCAGCTGTGTTGATTTTATGCCAGAGTCATTGTATATCTGCTTTATCCTAAATCTTACAGTAGAAAGTCCAATACAGTGATTTATTAAATGATCTGTTTTTTTTTTTTTTTGGAGGCCCTGATAGAGAGGGAATGACAGAGATCTTCCAGCTGCTGGTTCAAGGCCATCTAACTGCTGCTTTCCCAGACACATTGATAGGGAGCTGATGGTCCACAGAACAGCCGGGGCTCAAACTGGTGCCTGATGGGTATCAGTGCTGCAAATGTAACCTGCTGTGCTGCAGTGGTGTCCCCAAAATATAGCAGTTGTCCTAACAGTTACAGTGCAAGGAAATAAGTGGGGGCGTAGCTAGTCCAATTTGTCACAATTTCAATCTAGGATAAAGATGCCCAACAGGCCAGCATCCTTGCAGAAGTTTACCCTTGTTCCTAACTAGTAATTAAAAGGTTTCTGCAGCCAGTGGTTCCCTTACCTTTATTGCCAAGGTTCTCGGCTCAATCTGTGAAATTTACCTTGAATTTCCTTTCCAAGAAATTATTGGTCCTTGCATTAACCTACTGTGGGTGAAAGGCAGCATCCCACATCGGAGCACCCCTGCACGTCCCAGCTTCTCTGCTGCCTGTGCAGCTCCCCGTTTGTGTGTGCAGGCAGGAGAAGCTGGCTCAAATGCGTAGGTCCCTGCCACCCGCTTGTGAAACCTCGATGGAATTGCTGGCTTTGGGAGTTTGTGTGGCCTTTTGGGGAGTGAATCAACCAGTGGTTTCTGTCTGTCTCCCTATTGCTCTTCTGATAAATCTTTAAAACAGTTGTTTTTAAAATTTAGAGTGGCAGAGAGATTATTCATACTGGAGCTGGTAATTGGAAAATAAAGTGGGGTCTCCTTTCGGGTGGCGTGGACCCAGGTTCCCGAGTCAGCCCTGACCTGTTTCCAAATGACTGCATACATAGCAGGAAGCTGACCTTGGAACCTGGGAGGGCTTCTTATCTACCCCTACCCTTAGCAGTATCTACAACTGGACCCCCGCCCTGGAAACCACTCTGAAGGTCTCAGGAGGAAGTCGGCTCTTGGAGGTGGGTCTGGTGAAGCAGCCAGGGTGGGGCACTTGCAGTCCTTGACAGGTAAGACATTCTGACGTTGGTCTCATTCCAACCCTTACAGCCCAGGAAGGAAACACAAGACATTCCCTTGTCTTGCTCAAGGCGAGGACAAAATCAGAACCGAAGCCATTTGGTTTCTTGTCTGGTCCTGTGTTTGCCGCCCCAAGCCATCTTGCAATACTACAAGGGATGAGGAGATGAGGCGAGTCATCCTTGGGACAGAAGGATTCCTAGGAGTCCCTCCCCCCCAACCATTCAAGAGTGCAAGAGGGTGATCCTGAAGTGACCCTGACCTTGTCCTCTGAGCCTTGGAGGCCAGCTGCTGATGTCCCATTATCTCAGAAAAGCTCCCAAGGGTGCCTGGGCCGGGCACCACCACCACTGTATTCCACCATCCCGGCCGGTAATTGTGTGATTTCTAAGGAGGGCATGCTGCCCAGAGGTTCTTGCTGTGTTTTGTTGAGGCTTTGGAAAGCCCAGGCTTTAGAATAACCCTGACCAGCCTTGTGCCTCGGGCTGCTGTGGTTCAGTTTTCTTTGGTTTCTTACAAAAGCCCAGGGGGAGGACGGTTAACCAACACTGTCCAGAATACAAGCTTCCAGCGGCTCGGAGGGGAGGCCAAGCCCTGTGGAATGCGGTTCAGTTTTTATGGAAATACTGACACAAGGAAGGACATGTGCCTTGAGGAAGCATGCCGGGCAGGGGTCAGCCACCCACATTTGGTCAGAACTTGCTATTAGGGTCTCGCCGGGAAGCGTCATTCCGCAGAGCCTCCAAGTGTGTCTGCATTTGTTGCAGGGATAGATTTACCCAGACAGGTGGCATGACTTAAGGGTTATAAACAGCTGCCGAGCCAGGCTGCTCCAATGGTCTTGACTGCCAAGATTAAGGGAAATGAGCAGGGCAGGAACTGGCTTCAGAACAGGCCCCAGGGTCGAAACGACCCTCACTTCGGTCTGGTGCGTGCACCACCCATGACATGAAATCGTGAGGAAGTTACAGCCGTTTTATGAGGAATTGTCCTGGCCTGCTTTTCAATTGCTGATTCATAGTTCACGGTGCTGCTGATTTGGGACTGTTAGTTTCTAACCGAACACGTAGTAGGTACTCAACAAGTAAATGTTGACTTAGTAACTTCCATCTCTGAAGAAATGGCCAGAAGAGGCAAACGCATAATAGCAATGTACAAATCCGCCCACGGTTTGATGGTTCTTCCCCCCAGGCCCCCACGGGCAGGTAACTTTGTTTAAGTGACAACCAGCACCGCTGGTCCGGAGCTCGCGGCAGCTTCGCTCTCCGGGTGGGGGCAGGGAGGGCGGCTGTCCAGGAAGGGGGCGGGCTTAGGCCGAACCGTGGCCGCCGCAGCCCGTCGTGGCGCCGTACGGTACTTGGCAAGCCGGAAAACCAATAGGAATGGAGAGAGCCTTTTGAATCAGCCAATAGCCTTGGGGCGGGGGCGGGGCTTGAGGACCGTATAAAGGCGGCGGCCGAGCAGCCAGGCGGTGGCGGAGGTTCTCACCGCGGTGTCCGGCTGTGGGCTCCTGAGCGTCGCCGCGCCCTGCGGGTCCGACCCTTCCAGCCTTGTGCTCCCGCGGCAGCCTACCTCGCTCCTCGGCGCCATGACCACCACCACCACCTTCAAGGGTGTGGACCCCAACAGCAGGAATAGCTCTCGGTGAGGCGACTGGGCGGCGAGCCGCGCGGGGCTGCAGGGCCGGGAGAGCCCTAAGCCGGCGGCCACACAGGCCGGGCGCCGGTGCTCGGTCCTAACGTGCCCGGTGCGCCGCCCTCGCGCCCGGGCGGCCAGCGGGGGATCCGGCCGCCGGCGCCGCCTTTGTGCGAGCCGGCCCCGCCCCGATTCCCGCTGCTCTCCATTCATTCTTCCCACGGAGCGTGGGGCTGGGGAGGCCGGGGACCGCAGCCTGGTGGGTTTTCGTTAAAAGGAAAGTGCGGGAGGGTTTTTTTTTCCACCCCTCTGGGGGAAGAGACTGGCCCAGTTCCGGGGTGGCTGTCCTGGCTCCCCCGGTGTCCGTTGGAGCCTCTGGGTGCCGCGAGGGGGGCCCCATTGTCCCTCCCCCGGACCACGCGCTCCTGCCTCTGGCCCGGGGCTTGTGATTCGGTGTTTGGGCGCAGCGATCAGATCCCGCCGTGGGATCCCTCGGTCCTGCCAGGCTGTCCCCTTCTCCATGCCGTCACTCCTCGATCCCGAATCGGGCCTCCCGGCAGGTGCACTGATATTCGGTCGGGGCTGGATTTTAAAACCCCTAACTCCCGCTCTGGCTGGACTCTGCCATCATTCCCCTCTTGGAGGTGCTCAGCTCTCCTAACAAAGGAAAGACCCCGTCCCTTCCCCTCTGTGCGCCCCCCTCCCGGCGGGAGACGGCGTGGTCCAGTCCCAGTGGGTTTTCTGCGCCCAAACCTGCCCTCGGTCTATGCGTCCCATCCACTTCTCCCCTCAGCGGTGGCCAGATGAGTTCATCCCTGACCCTGGCTCCCTTGCAGGGAGGAGGTTTCCTCCTCTTGGGCGGGGCTCGGCGGGGCTTGGCCATTGTCTCTTCCATAGCTTTTTCACCTGTGAAGTCAAGGCCTGCCTGGACACACACCCCGCTGTGTTTTGCGGAGTGAACATTGGGCACGGTGTTTGGGCTGGGACCCATTCCCAAGCCAATGATTACCTGGTGTGAGCGTTTGGGTTCCAGTGCAAGGTGTCCACATTGTCTCAGGCAATTGCACAATTCCTGAAGGGGAGTTACAGGCCTTCCCCAGATGGTCCTCAAACTTCAAGGGCCGACAGGATGCCACTTTCTCTGGGCTTCTGTTCTGAGGTGATGGGGACCTGTGGTCTGTGTATCTAGCCGCGGGGTCCTGGCCAAGTGGCACAAAGGGAGCCATTTTGTAGGGCTAGGAAGACAGGCGTGAAATAGCAATGTCTCCCAGGGATTAGAGAACTTGGGGACACAAAGCTTTCCCCAGCCAAGAAGGTGAAGAATAAGCTTTGGGAATAATATTCCCTATCAATCTGTTTCTTCAGCTTTACAATGTAGGAAAGAATGGGAAGATTAAAAAAAAAAAACCCTCAAAAACCTAAATTAGTGGTTACTGGGAGGACGAAAGGAAGAACTTGAGTCGGTTCAGACCTAAGAAAACACTGGGCACTCCCTTCTCTGTAGCTGAGCTGGAGAGCTCCGCAAGAGATCAAAGCTTGGTTTTCTGGTTAGAAAGGTGGTGTGGAATGTGGTGTTTCACCCTTGGGGGCTGCTCTCTAGGTGGCGGAGCAGAGGACCCCTTAGGCTGGTGCGTGTGTGTGTGTGTGTGTGTGTGTGTGTGTGTGTCGCGCGCGAGCGAGCGTGTGTGCGGACGGTTCCCCTTTTGTCATCAGTTTCCCTGTCCTGGCACTGGGATTCACTGGCTTCCTTCCTTTTTCACCTCACTTCAGTGCGTGAACTCTATCCAGCAGCGCTGTCCTGGCTTGGTAGGGAGTGGTGTGCGCAGATCATGAGGGAACCAGAGGAGTTGCTACTTGAAAGTGCACGGATGGGTTTTTGTTAATTTAAGGTCATTCTGATGTAGTTATCGTGTGTGTGTGTGTGTGTGTGTGTGGTTTAGAAAGCATAGTAGGATCGTAAACAGTGAAATGGCAATACTTGCTGTCTTAGGATCCAGTCCTTTGTTTGGGGATGTCTCACTATTACAAATGGTCTCTCCAACGCTGACGTCATTGGAGTAGGTGTCACCTGCAATTGTAAGAACACGGAGCGTTAAAAGTTGCCTTTGGCAGACACTGGATTTGCTTTTCACTGGTGACTGTCCTTCCATCGTTTCCCTTTTAATTTCCCCCCACTAGAATTCCAAAGACTCATTTTGCCAAAATAAATCAGAAAGTGTTATTCAGGATTAATAAAGAATATTATTTCCTTTTTTTGTTTTAAAGATTTATTTATTTTTATTACATAGATACAGAGAGGAGAGGAGAGACAGAGAGGAAGATCTTCTGTCTGATGATTCACTCTCCAAGTGACTGCAACAGCTGGGGAGCTGAACTGATCCAAAGCCGGGAGCTTCTTCCTGGTCTCCCACATGGGTGCAGGTTCCCAAAGCTTTGGGCCGTCCTGGACTGCTTTCCCAAACCACAGGCAAGGAGCTGGATGGGAAGTGGGGCCACCAGGATTAGAACTGGTGCCTATATGGGATCGTGGCGTGTCCAAGGCCAGGACTTGAACTGCTAGGCCCTGGCGCTGGACCACAAAGAATATTATTTTGATCTCTAGGGAAATAGCAATGAAACAAGTTAATTTTGGTTATTATATTTCAGTGTCTTTGTTGATGTGGGGAGAATGACAAGGCTTATCAACAGTTGATAAAAAGGGCCTGGCACAGTAGTGGCTAAAGGTTTTGCCTTGCATGCAATTGGATCCCAAATGGGCATTGGTTTGTGTCCTGGCAGCTCCACTTCCCCTCCAGCTCCCTGCTTGTGGACTGGGAAAGCAGTCAAGGGTGGCCCAAATCCTTGCACCCGCTTGGGAGACCTGGATGAAGTTCCTGGCTCCTGGCTTTAGATCAGCACAGCACTGGCCGTTGCACTCACTTGGGGAGTGAATCATCAGACAGAAGATCTTCCTCTCTGTCTCTCCACCTTTCTGTATATCTGCCTTTCCAATAAAATAAATAAATCTTAAAAGAAAAATTTATTTAGGATGAACTAAATATTGCATTTTACCATGGGCAGACACAAATATTACATTGAGGGGAGAAAGTTTGAGGAACTGCGTAAGAAGTAGGACGGAGGGCTTGGAGGGTGAATCAGCAGATGGCAGAGCTTTGTCTTTTATGTAAAAACTTTCTAATATAAATAAATATATCTTTAAAAAAATAGGGGCCATGCACAATAGCTCGATGACTGAATCCTCACGTTGCAAGTGCCAGGATCCAGTATGTAGTGGCTTGTGTTCCAACTGCTTCACTTCCATTCAGCTCCAAGTTTATGTCCTGAGAAAGCAGACTCTAGCCCAAAGCCTTGGGACCCCGTACCCGCCTGGGGGTACTGGAAGAAGCTCCTGGCACCTGGTTTTCAAGTGGCTCAGCTTGAGCTGTTGCAGCCACTTGGAGAGTGAACCAGCAGATGGAAGATCTTTCTGTCTCTCACTCTGTTCGTTAATCTCATCTGCTTTTCCAAAAAAGACATTATCTTTTGGAGTAAAAGAAAGGGGTGCCCGGCTCAGTAGCCTAGTGGCTAAAGTCCTCGCCTTGCACACGCAGGGATCCCATATAGGCCCTCATTGTGGTAGAGGGCAGGGAAGCTGCTGTGTGTGACGCCAGCATGCGATGTACATGCTAATTCAAGTGCTGCTACTTGCTTCCATCCAGCTTCCTGCTAATATGCCTTGGGAAGCAGAACTTGGCCCATCACTTGGCGGAAACCCGTGTGGAGCTGTGGCTCCTGGCATCAGCCTGGCCGAAGCCTGTTGCAGTTATGGTGAACAAGTACATGAAAGTGCCCTGTAATGGCCTTCAAATTGACCAGTCAACTTTTTGTATTTTTTTTTAAGGAGAAAAAAAAAAATAAGAAAGAGGCTGAAGAGGCTGCGTGCTGCCGGTGACCCTGGAGCTCCCAGCCTCGGTTTGTGTGTGCCTGGTGATGAGGTTTGCCACTGTGGTTCCATTTATTTTTTTTTTCTCCCAATATTTATCCTTGGTTACTGGAAAGTCAGATATACAGAGAGAGGGAAGGACAGAGAAAGATCTCCCATCCACTGGTTCACTCAGGAGCTAGGAGCCGCCTCCAGGTCTCCACGTGGGTCCAGGGTCCCAAGGCTTTAGGTCATCCTCTACTGCCCTACCAGGCCACAGGCAGGGAGCTGGATGGAAATGGATCAGCCAGAACACAAACCGGTGCCCATATGGGTTCCCTGTACATGCAAGGCAAAGAATTTAGCTACTAGGCTACCGCATGGAGGCCCGCCCTTTTTTTTTTTTCCATGTTATTTTTATGGTTGACAGAGAGACCCAGAAACAGTTGCCCCGTTCTTTTTTTTAGAGATTTATTTGTTTACACACACATAAAAGAGAGGGGGAGGGAGAGAGAGAGAGATTGATCTTACATTCCCCAATAGAGATCTTTCATTCCTCAAATGGTTGTGATGGCTGCAGCTGGGCCAGGCACAAACTAGAAGTCAGGACCCTCCTCTGGGTCCTCTCTGTGAAAGGCAGGGCCCCTAACACGTGGGCCATCAGCCGGAAGAATTCTACTAATGCTTAAAATGGGATGTTGTCTTTGTAAGTGGATGGCTTTACCTACTACTATACAACTCCAGCCCCCCAAATATCTTCTGCTTGTTGATTCACTCCCCAAACACCCGCAGTTTCCATGGAGCGGGAACAGGCTCAAGCCAGGAGGCTGGTCACTGGATCTCTCATGGGGGTGGCAGTGGTCCAAGCGTTTGAGCCAGCCTGGAGCGTGTTAGCAGGGAGCGCTGGTACCCAGGCCTGGGCTGTGGGAAGCAGGCCTGCCGGGCAGTGTTCTGACTGAGGCAGTGGTCACTCCTTTCACCTGCTTTAATGTGGTCAGTGGATGCCGCTGCGTGATGCGAGAGAGAATGTGAAGACTGACCTGTTGCCGGAAGTGCAGGCTGCTGAGCTCCTAGTGCTGCTTTCTGTTTTGGGAGTTCCCCTTTGCCATGGGGGGGGGGGGGGTTAGGACTGCTTCCTGGAGGCTTGGGTGGGGTTGGACTTTGTTTCAGCACCCAGGGAAGGGTGGAGATTGTTCCAGACTGCAGAGAATAAGGCAATAAAGACTCCCGCCCTGGTGGAGATAAGCCCAGGATGAGCAAGGGCCAGTGCGGTCACCTGATTGCGCTGCTGGGGAAGGTGGCAGGAGTGCTGGTGGACACAGCCTGTCTGGGGCTGCCTTCTGCACCTGCTCTGTCATGTTGGCATCTTTCAAGCAGCCAGCCAGTGAAAGACATGGGGCCTGGCATGCTAGCAATTAGTGCAGGAAGAGTGATGGTGCCAGGGCAGCTGAAGAGTGGGGCTTTCTGCCTAGAAGCAGTGTGGGACATTTCTGTCTGGTTATGACCTGACTGCCAGCTTAGCACAGTGTCCAGGTGCCTTGGTAATGCCCCTATCCTGCACATTTGAGAGGGTCAGCAGTTTACCCAAAGCCACGCAGCTCAAGGGATCTATCTCTGTACAAGGATTTCTGAAATGGGCCTCCTTTTTTCATTCCTTGTGCTTTGGGTAACCTCACATCCCCTCATAAAGGCAAATCTCAACCCACTGTGCCTGCCTGTTTGTGAATGCTGACAACTGACCCCTACCAGCAGGCAGGTAGGATACTTCCGGTGCACAGAGATTACTTTTTATTGGAAAGGCAGATTTACAGAGAACAGAGACAGGAAGATCTTCCACCTGCTGTGTCACTGCTGAAGTGGTCACAATGGCTGGGCTAATGTCAAGCCAGGAGCTTTTTCTGGGTCTCCCAAGAGGATGCAGGGTTCCAAGACTTTGGGCCATCCTCTGCTTTCCCAGGCCGTAAGCAGGGAGCAGGATGGGAAATGGAGTAGCTGGGACATGAAGTGATGCCCATATGGGATCCTGGCACTTGTAAGGTGAGGATTTAGCAATCGAGCCATTGTGTCTGGCCCTCTCCCATAGGATACATGATAGGTGTATCCTGGTACATATGTCTGGTTATCTGTAAAATTTTGGAGGTAGAAATGCTAGCTCAGATAAAATGCAAGTTTGAACATTTAATACATGCTATCAAGGTGTCTATTAGAAAGTTTATACAGTGCCTGATGTGTGGTACAGTGCATTAAACTGCTACTTGCAAGGACCACAGTCCTTATTACAGTGGGTTCAAGTTCTGGCTGCCGTATTTTGTTGAAAAGTTTAGGGTTTATTTGCAGAGTTACAGAAAGAGGGAAGCAGACAGTTTCCATCTGGTGGCTATCTCCCCAGATGGCCACAAGGCCAGGCCAAAGCCAGGAGTTTGCTCTGGGTTACGTGCATGGGTGCGGGGGCCACATACTTAAAGCTCCTGCTCGGGCTTCTTCCAGGCCTTCTTGTGAGGGTGCAGGGTCCCAAAGCTTTGGTGCCATTCTTGACTTCCCTCCCAGGCCACTAGCAGGCTGCCGCAATTAGAACTGGTGCCCATATGGGATCCCAGAGCAAGCAAACTGAGGATTGTAGCTGCTAGGCTACCACGCTGGGCCAGGGATCCCGATTCTTGTAAGGTGAAGATTCAGCCATTGTGCCAGGCCCCTAAGTGTTGAGTTTGTTCTTTCTTGTTTCTTTTTCCTTTTCCTTCCTCTATCTCTCCCTTCCTTCCTTCCTCGTTTTTTAAAAGATTTATTTAATGTTATCGATAGGGCAGATCTACAGAGAGAAGAGGCAGAGGAAGATCTTCCAGTCTGTGGTTCACTGCCGAAGCAAACGCAGCAGCTGGAGCTGAGCGAATCCAAAGCCAGGAGGTTCTTCCGTATCTCCCAAGCGGGTGCAGGAGCTTGGGGCTGTCTTCGACGGTCAGGCCACCAGCAGGGAGATGGGAAGTGGAGCTGCTGGGATTAGAACCAGCTCCCAAATGGGATCCTGGTGCATTCAAGGCGAGGACTTTAGCTACGTTATCACGCCAGGCCCCCTTCTTAAAATTTATTTATTTTTAGTGGAAAGTCATATATATACATACATACACACAGAGAGGAGGAGAGACAGAGTAAGATCTTTTGTCTGCTGGTTTATTCCCCAAGTGGCCAAAGGCTGCAATTGAGCTGATTCAAATCCAAGAGCCAGGAACAGCTTCTTGGTCTCCTGTGCGGGTGCGGTGTCCCAAGGCTTTGGGCTGTCCTCTACTACTGGATGTAGTTCCTGAATCCTGGGTTCAGCCTGGCCCAGATCTGACTGCTGGGAGCATTTGGGGAGTGAACAAACAGCAGATGGAAGCTTTCTACTTTTTTCTTTCAAATGAAATGACAAAGTAGAAAGCATCTAAAATGAAAGAACGAAACAATAGTAAAACTGTTGTGTATCAAAACTATAAAGTGGGGGGCCAGGCACCGTGGGCTAGAGGCTAAAGTCCTTGCCTTGAATGCACGGGGATCCCATATGGGCACTGGTTCTAATCCCAGCAGCTGCACTTCCCATCCAGCTCTCTGCTTGTGGCCTGGAGGGCAGTGGAGGACGGCCCAAAGCCTTGGGCCCCTGCACAGAAGACCTAGAAGAAGCTCCTGGCTTCGGATTGGCTCAGCTCCGGCCATCACAGCCACTTGGGGAGTGAACCAGTGGAATGATCTTTCTTTTTCTTTCTGTAAAATCTGCCTTTCCAATAAATAAATAAATACATAAAACAGAAAAATGCCTGTAAAGAGATACTTGGAAGACAGTTTACACCTCAAATACTGATTTTTCAACTTTTCTGATACAATGAGGTGAATTTACAAATATATTTGTTGTGAAACTTGGAAAAATCTACATTTTCCTAGAAAAATGTTTATTACTCAAATTGATTTAAGGAGAAATAGAAAGCAAATCCTCTCCTGTCATCCAGGAAGAATTAACTGGAGTCTTTCTAGGTGTGAGGCAGGCTGGGCAGTGTAGAGCAGGAAGGCTCTGCAGCTTCACGCAGAGGGCCACGAGTGTCAGCTGCGCGTGGCTCCCACCCCGGGCTCCCTGCGCCGCCATTGGCCAGCACTCCGCAGTCTATGGAGGATGGGGCGTGTTGGCTGACGTGAGCCGGGGTGGTTCTCTGTCTTACGCAGGTGTAAACACCGAAGAATAAGGAACAGTGTGTGCTCCTGACTCCTTTGCAAAGGGAAAAGCCACCGTGGTCACAATCTAAGGTTGATGTTGTGCCATTATTTGTAGGGTTTTGCGGCCTCCGGGTGGTGGATCCAATTTTTCATTAGGCTTTGATGAACCAGCAGAACAGCCTGTGAGGAAGAACAAAATGGCCTCCAGCATCTTTGGGACACCTGAAGAAAATCCCCCTTCCTGGGCCAAGTCAGCAGGTAGGAATCTGCGCTCATTGTGCCACTTGAGCCAGCCATGGCTGCATTTGCGATGACCAAGGAAGTGCAGCTTAATGAAGATAATGTGCAGGGAAAGTACAGGGCCACCTTCAGGAAGGAGGGTCGCGGCATCTCTGCTCACAGTCCCGCTCCTGGGCCTGCGAGTCTTCAGACGGCCCAAGTGCTTGGGTCCTTGCACACACACGGCAGAACCGGGCAGAGTGCCAGCTCCCTGGCTCTCAGCCTGGCCCTGCCCTGGCTGTTGTGGGCACTAGGAGCATGAAGCAGCAGATGAAAATATCTCTTGCCACTCTGCCTTTCAAATAAGCGAATTTAAAAAACAAGAAAAGAAAAACATTGCAGTTACCAAAAACATCAGCGTTTCCCTGATGAAGGAATGTCTTGGTTTTCAGGTGCCAAGTCGGGCAGCGGCAGGGAGGACGCGGAGTCGTCGGGGCTGCAGAGGAGGAACTCCTCGGAGGCCAGCTCGGGAGACGTCCTGGATCTGAAGGTTGGTGTGGCCAGCGCCAGGGCAATGGTATTTGGAAATTGGGCTTCCCCCTCCTGTTCTTTAAACCAAGTTTCAGTTCTGCCACTGGCATTTCCCGTGGTGGTAATCAGGAGAAGGACTGGGCCATACTGGTAGTGAAAGGCTGCTACGCTGGGAGCACGGCCAGAAGGCGCGGTGGAAGGCGCTGTTTGGCATCAACTCCTGCAGCGCTGGGCGCGAGGCTCCTGCGTCTCCTGCAAAAAGTAGCTTTCTTGGACTCCCAGAGACTCAGTGCTGGCATCACTGTCCCTGTGTGGCACCGAGCCCAGGGGCCTGCTGGCCAGGCACCTCAGTGGGAGGAGATACACAGAGGGTCACCCTTCATCGTGGGAGGATGAGAGAGAGACATCTGCCAGTTTGCCCCTTCTGATAAAAGATCCTCTGAAATGCTGACTGTGTGTTCACCAGAGGAAATGTTAAAGGTTTTCCCACGTGTCAGCTGCTATAGTCCATTGACCGCACGTCTTGTCCAGCATGTCCCAGCCCATGTGACTGCATCAACATGAAATTCTGGTTTTGAATAGTTCTTAGCTGCTCTGAAGTGTGACTTTATTGTGTGTTGCGAAATTAAAATAGGAAGTAATTTTTAATTTTTTTTCCTTTCCAGGGAGAAGGTGACACTCACAGTGAGTACTTCTGAAGATTGAGTTTTTTGTTCAGCAGGTGGTTTTAGAAGTGATCTGAATTTTGATTCAAATCATGTCTGGGGGAAAGAAGCTGAGGAGTGAAACCTGGCCAGGCCCCACAGTTCTCTCCTTTGGTGGGACGGGAGAAAACGTGCAAGTGAGCACCTGTGGCCACGCTGGTAGTGGTAGTCTGTTGGTGGGAGACAGGTGCTGGCGATGGGGAAGCCAGGAGGAAAGCTGGAGAGCCCAGACACTAACCAGGGCAGGATCTGCTGCCCGTAATGAGAGCCTTTACATCAGCAGCCTGGCGCTTCAAGCTCAGCTCACACCACTCAATTTACAAAGTTCATTTGATTTTATACGAGGCGCTTACTCAGCAAGGCACTGGCTGCCAGGCAGTGATTTTATAAATGATGATTTAGGGGGGCAGATGTAAATTTTCAGTTAGCCACATTGCCAATTAAAGGTAGAGTTGAGTGGTAATCATTGACTTAATTATTTCAGGCCTTTGAAGTATTTATTGGCCCTTCCTTAGCAGTGTGTGTGGGGGGGGGGCTGCTGACGGCGTGACTCTGGAGCAGTGCGAGGTGGAGCAGCAGTTGCAGGCCCACTGGGCCCGAGGACAAAAGCTGTTTCCTTGCAACCTTTTCCCACCCGCATATTTGCAGATGCCATCTTTATCAGGAAACAGAAATGTTCTACAACCAACTTCCTGTCCTGCCCCTAGGCTAAGGAGAAGCTCCCAGCATCCCTTGCACCGCCTGAGGCTCCCCGGGGCAGGCCAGTGCCTGGGTGCAAATCTGTTAGGCTTTCCCTCTCTGCTTTTCATGTTCTGTTACCACAGAGCTGTGACAAGAGTCACGTGGTCTTACATCAGTAATTTTGGCCAGTGGCTGTTGGAAATTTGGAGAGCCTTGAGTTAGGAGTGCTTCAGTGAAATTATGGACAAATCAGTTATTCTTTCTTCAGATGGATGGCATAGTTCCTTCCTTGCCTGTCTGATGAGTCTTCAGTTGTTTGTGGCTGCCGTGACTTTGTTATAAAATCACAAGCGGCACAGTGAGCACGGTGTGTGCCAGGTGAAGGTCAGCCTCGGTGTGTTAGGGTCATATCCAGGCAGAGTGTGCTGATCAGCTCCAGGGAAATGGCCTTGGCCGTTTGGATAACTAAGGAACAACCAAGGGAAGACTTGGGAGTGGCCACCTTGGGGAATTGTGAAGAGTTCTACGGGCCTGGTGCAGTAGCCTAGTGGCTAAAATCCTCACCTAGAATGCGCCGGGATCCCATATGGACTCTGGTTCTAATCCCGGCTGACCTGCTTCCCATCTAGCTCCCTGCTTGTGGCCCAAAGCATTGATTCACTCCATATGTGTGGGAGACTTGGAAGAAGCTCTCGGCTCCTGGCTTGGGATTGGCTCAGCTCTGGCTGTCACAGCCACTTGGGAAGTGAATCGGTGACAGATCTTCCTCTCTGTCTCTCCTCTCCTACATCTGACTTTCAAATAAAACTGAATAAATTCTTTTAAAAAAAGTTCTAGAAGGCCCACAGTTTAGGCAGAAGGCACCCCTGGCTTCAGGCCAGTTAGGTGGTTTGCTGATTCTGATTCTTTGTTTTCTTTTTAAAATTTGAAAGGTAGAGCTACAGAGAAAAAAATAAGCAGAGAGAAATCTTCCATATGCTAATTCAGCCCCCAAAAGGCTGCAGGGGCTGGATGGGAAACGGAGCAATAGGAACTCGGAGTACTCACAGCAGTGCCTGCAAGGGATGTCCGCGCCATGGGTGGGAGTTTAGCTTACTACGCCATGGGGCTGGCACCTCGTTCTGATTCTTTGGCTCTTACAATGAATCGTCTTTCTCTGTTCCAAATATCGTTCCTTTGTTCCGTTACCCTGTTTATGTGAAGAGGAAAGTCAGTAGCTTCAGGAGCCCGAAACTGGAAATGTGCACTGTCACTTCCAGGATTTGCCTTGTCTGCTGCTAAAAAAGCCAGCCCACCTCTTTTGGCCTGAGCACTTCCAACCCAAGTTACAGACACAGAAATTATGGCTTGCTGCTGTTTAGTCTCCAGTGGTATTTGTTTTCCCTTCTTTCTCTTGGTACGTTGTCTATTTGTGAAAGGAAGGTGCCAGCATTATGGAGCAGTGGGTTAAGCATTTGCCTATGGTGCCAACAGTCCATGTGAGCACCAGTTCAAGTCCTGCCTGCTCCACTTCCAGTCCATCTCCCTGGGAAGGAGACCCTTGGGGAAATGAACCACCAGTGGGTAGGACATCGGGTAGGACATCTCTCTGTCTGTACCTCTTTTTTTTTTTTTTTTCTGAAGATTATTTATTTTTATTGGAAAGTCAGATATACAGAGAGGAGGAGAGACAGAGGAAGATCTTCCGTCCGATGATTCTCTCCCCAAGTGACTGTAACAGCCGGAGCTGAACCAATCTGAAGCCAGGAGCCAGCTCTTCTGCGTCTCCCACATGGGTGCAGGATCCCAAGGCTTTGGGCCATCCTTGACTGCTTTTCCAGACCACAGGCAGGGAGCTGGATGGGAAGCAGGGCCTCCGGGATTAGAACCGGTAACCATATGGGATCCTGGTGCGAGTAAGGCGAGGACTTTAACCACCATGCTATCGCGCCACGCCCTGTCTACCTCTTATTTTCCAACTCTGCTTTCCAGATAAATATGTAAATCTTAAATAGAGGTGTGTCGTGGGGGGGACAATTCCTAAAAAATGTAAGGGAAGTGAAAGATTGGTAGGAATGTGCTAATTCATCTGAAGGTCCTGTTAGGAAAATAACACATAGTATTAGAGCTGCAAGGTGATTGTCCGGGAGAACACTCTTCAGTGGCCGATCCAAAGAATGGGAAATTCAGCTGGCTCTTATACGGGGAGTTCTCCCAGCAGCAGAAATGAAACAACCTCGCAGATACACTGTTCCGCCTGAAATCATGGTGTGTTTTCTTTGGGATTTTCGGGGTGGGATTTTGTTGCTACTTTGAACTGGCAGTAAATTGAACTTTTGCTGAAGGGCACTTGTCACTTGCAAAAAGAGTGAAAAGTGTTTTTGAAGATATTTATTTGAAAGGCAGAGAAAGGGAGATCTTCCGTCTGCTGGTTCGCTTTCCAGAAGGCTGCAGTGAGTGGGGGCTGGGCCGAGCCTAAGGCAGGAGCCTGGAGCCTGGAGCTTTCTGAGCCTGGTCCAAGTCTTACGTGGGTGGCAGAGCCATCTTCCTCCGCTTTTCCCAAGGCCATTAGCAGGGAGGTGGCTTGATGGAGCAGGCAGCATTTGAACCTGTTGTGTGCATGCCCACTTAGGGTGGTGGGATCCAAGTGGTATCTTAACTGAGCACAGCACCAGCCCCCGCATGAGAGGGAGTTGAATGTACCTATGTTAAATGCAACCAGGTCAGCATTAAGTGTGGCGTGTGGCTACACAGAAATAGACACATGCCAGAAGCAGACCAGAAGGCCACACTAGGTCTGGCAGTGTCTCTCATGGTGGGAGAGCAGGTCCCAGGGCGGGAGGTGGGCGTCCGACCAGGAGCTTCCCTGTGGCATTCCCACGCCCAGAACTGGGCTAGAGCCCCAGCAGCAGTTAGCTCGCTGTAGTAGCGGCGACATGGCTGGTGAGTGTTGTCATACTTTTGGGTCTGTTTCAAACCATCCTTTAGCCAAAAAATTGGACTCCTAATTCTAGCCAGAAAGAGCTGTTGATGTTATTTCCATTCTTGTTTTCCTAGATAATGTGGACACAGATTTGCAAGTCAGCCTGGGACAGAGCGAAGAGAAACCTGTGCCCGCTGCGCCTGTGCCCAGCCCGGTGGCCCCGGCCCCGGCCCCGTCCAGGAGAAACCCCCCCGGCGGCAAGTCCAGCCTTGTCCTGGGTTAACCGCACCGGTCCTCAGCGCTGTCATTCTGTTTTCTCTGCTTGTGAACTGCACAACTTGAGCCTGACTGTACATCTTTTGGATTTGTTTCATTAAAAAAGAAGCACTTTATGTATTGCTGTCCTTTTTTTTCTTCTTCTTTTTTAAATGTGTTTCTTTTTTCCTTCTGGAGGAACAGCTCTGTCTCTATTCTGTCTCTGCTGACTCCTCGGGGTCTCTGGGCTGTGGCATGAATGTTTTGTAGATGTAGATTGGAGGGAAAGCTTTGTGACGCGTAGTGCCGTGTTTTTAAGAACTAATACTTTGGTTCCTAATGTGTTAGAGGGTGTTTTGTACTGAGGTTTTCAACACACTCTACTGGGGTTGATGAGCCTTGGCACCCACTGCTCCCGGCATACCCCGCTCGCAGGGCTGTGCCTTCTTGGCCTCCCCGCCCTGCCAATGCCCTTGTCCAAAAGCCGCTCACAGTGCCATGTGCATCAAGACCGAGGCCTGCACCTCATGCCTTGCTGCCTGCCAAGCAAAGAAACTGCCTTTCTTTTTTATTTATTTTTTTTAACCTTGAGAAGGAAGCCAGATACTAAGCAGGACTGGCTGACTACCGGCCAAGTCCGCTGCCGCTGCAGCAGAAGGCTCTGGATGTACAGTCAAACTCAGCAGAGGGAGAGTGAGAAGGGAGTCGACCGTGCGTGTGGGTCTCCATCCACGAGTGGGTCCCACAGGGGCATTGTTCTTACTGAGTAACTTGATGCTGTGTGCATGATGCTGGTGCTTGACCATGAAACGGAGGTCTCATCCTTAAATGTGTGTTGTACTTCACAGTGCGGGACTGTGGCTTAAAGTAAATGGTACTCACGTTTTGAAATATTGTGTCTTGTGTCTTCTCTTTGAGATCCCCTCAAGCTTCCCCTGCATAATTACTTTTTTCTTTGTTACTGTAAATCCTACCCAGTGATTTAGTGTGTCAATTATAACATAAAATGGAGGTCCAGAGAACAGCAGGCTTCTCCCTGAAGAAAACAAAGCAGGTTAGCTTCCACCACCTACCCCTGGTGCTGAGCAGCAACACTTAATCAAAGTTTTCCGTACACCTGTGCAGTCCTCTTCCCAGGCAGGTGCTTGGAGAGCAAGGTAGAGTGCGCACTCGGTGGGAGACGGGCCGTGCGCAGCCTGTAGGCGAAGCTGGAAGTTCCAGATCCACACGCCATGTCAGTGTCTAGACAGTGCTGTTCAGACCTGGCTGGCGTCTGCCTGTGCAGCAGATCAGCAGTGTTCTCGGCTTGTCTCTGGGGCCTCTATCCCCTGTCTGATGATTAGGCCTATCTTCGGGAAGAATAAAGGGTTAACAAGAGTTTTCCTTTATAAAGCAGTTGGAAAATGGAGAACTCAGCTGCTGTGTTCATGGGGTCTTTGCGCCATTACTGAAATAGGTTTGTCCTGTGACACCAGCGCAGGCCTCACTGGCCCGAGTTTTTACTTGTGATTCTGCCAAGGCCGGCAGCCTCCCACGCTTGTTGACGAGGGTGGAGCTCCCTGAAAGAAATGGCCTGCTTTGTGTCATAGTCTGACAGTTGGCCTTGCTTTTGTTGCTCTGTGAAGATAAGCAGGAGTTACTGGTGTCTGCTTTTCGTTACTTTAAAAAGCCCGAGAGGAGTTTCTATGGAAAAGAAAAAAAAAGCATTTACATCAGCCTGCAAATGGAGGTCACAGGGTCCAGTGGAGGACGGGGGCTAATGGCGGCAGTGTGGCACATCGTGGGGTAAGAAGCAGAGAAGGCAAACCTGGGCGGAGCTTGAAGGAACCCTAAACCTCCCTAAGGACCTCCCTTGGGCCCTGCTTCTAAGCCATCATCAGATGAGATCTCCACCCTTAATTAGACTTTAAGACATTAGACTTGCAACAGCTGTGGCAGTTCTGGGTCATAAACCCTTCTCGACCCGTAACTGCCTAGTTCAAATGAAAGGTATTTATACCTGCAGTTTATATAGTTGGCAGTGGTGATTCTCTGGAAAGTGTTCAGTGTCCTGGAGTTGGAAAATTTGAGTTCCAGTAAATGAAGTTAGTGTTAAAGTTACCAAGAGGAGCAGGTGGCATCAGGTAAAATACCCACGTGCATGCTTCGGGTACTGTGGGACAGCAGGTGCAGCTGCTGCCTGGGGTGCCTGGCTACTCTGTACTTCCAATCCAGCTTCTGATTCTTGGCCCCAGGAATGCTTGGGTTCCTGACACCCACGTGGAGGTCAGAGAGCCAGGTTCTAAATGGCCCAGCTCTTGTTGGGGGCATTTGGGAAGTAAAGCAGCAGAGAAGGAAGACTGGCCTCTCTATGACTCCAGGATAAATAAATCTTCAGAAAAATGAAATCTGCCCATGGAATTATAAAAGATTTAAAAATCTACGGCCCCGTGCAGTAGCCTAGTGGCTGGAGTCCCTCGCTTTGCACGCTCTAGGATCCCATTGAGTGTCGTGGCAGCCCTGCTTCCCATCCTGCTTCCTGCCTGTGGCCTGGGAAAGCAGTAGAGGTTGGTCCAAAGCATTGGGACCCTGCACCCGCGTGGGAGATCTGGAAGAGGCTCTGGGCTCCTGGCTTTGGATCAGTTCAGCTCTGGGCGTTACGGCCACTTGGTGAGTGAATCGCTGGATGGATCTTTGTCTCTCCTTTCTGTGAAATCTGAATTTCCAATAAAAATCAATCGATCCTTAAAAAGAAATCAGAACTCCACAACTGTGGTAGATATCAGTTCCTGGGTTTGATACTTGGATGCTCTCTGGCCTCGGCTTCCTGCTGGTGTGACCTCGTGGAGGTGGCACAGGATGGCCGCATGGACTGGGTCCCTGCCACCACAAGGGAGACCAGAATTGAGTTTTTTTGAGTTTGGTTTGGCCTGGCTCAACCACTGGATGGGAACTATCTCGGGTAATTTTTTTTTTTATGAAGTTACTCAAAGAGGACCTGAAACAGGTGTCACTGCAGTTGGGCCCTTGGCCCGCGGGTAGGCGAGGAGGACACGCCGAGGGCTTAGGGCTGGTGACCTCTGCCATTTCTCCATTTCATCAGGCTGCCCTTCGGGATGCTGATATCCCACTACTCAAAATTTGCGTTTATAGTTTTAAAAACCACGAAAGCCACACCAAAGGGAAACAAGATTGCTAGGAGGGCAGGAAATGGCAGCCCAGCCCTGACTCCCTGTGCCTCCCGCCATCACGTTCCGGGAGGGGCGTCTCAGGCGCGGGGTTCTAGTTAACTTCAGCAGCGAAGACGCACCCGCGGGCCCCAAGACTGGAGCGCACGCATTCTAGAACCTCTGAGGAATCGGCTCCTCAGGCCCTGGCGAAAGCGCCACCCAGGATCCCGGCCCTTTGCGCGGTCCTGGAGGCTCTTCCCTCAGGGCTGCTGGGGCAGCGGGGATGGCGAGCCCGAGGAGGGCGCTCGGGAGGCGGCGCCGGCTCCGCCACGAGCTCCGCCCACCGCCCGGGCTCCCGGAAGCGGCCGGCCCGCGCGCCGCCGGCGTCTCCTCCCCGGTCCGCGGCGATGGCGGCGCGGCGCGTGCGCGTGCTGGTGGACATGGACGGCGTGCTGGCCGACTTCGAGGCCGGTCTCCTGCAGGGCTTCCGCCGCCGCTTCCCCGAGGAGCCGCACGTGCCGCTGGAGCAGCGCCGCGGCTTCCTCGCCTGCGAGCAGTACCGGGCTCTGCGGTCCGACCTGCGGGTAGGAGCCGGACCCCCGACCCCAAACCCCGGGCGATGCCCTCTTCGGAAAGGGAGGTCCCGGAGCCCCCGTGGGATTCCCAGTCGGCTGGAGGCCGATTCAGGACCGATTCCCACCTCCCCCGATCCCTTGTTTTGCAGGACAAGGTGGCCAGTGTGTACGAAGCCCCAGGCTTCTTCCTAGGCTTGGAGCCCATCCCCGGGGCTGTGGAGGCCTTGCGGGAGATGCACGCCATGCACGAGTAAGGAGGGCGGGGAGATGGGGCTGCGACGGGCGGGGGCCCGCAGGGCTGACGGGCGCCCCGCACACCTCCTCTCCGCAGCACCGACGTCTTCATCTGCACCAGCCCCTTGCTGAAGTACGACCATTGTGTGGTCGAGAAGGTGCGGCCGCCTGGCAGGACTAGTGAGGGGTGGGGGAGAGGGGCCTGCCGGGGCTGCGGCCCCATTGCACCTCTGCGCGGCCTGCACCCCTTCCTGCCCCACCCGTGCTGCTCTTGTCCACACAGTACCGCTGGGTGGAGCGGCACCTGGGACCCCAGTTTGTGGAGCGGATCATCCTGACGAGGGACAAAACCGTGGTCTTGGGGGACCTGCTAATCGATGACAAGGACACCATCCAAGGTTGGGCCTGTTACCCTTGGCAACCCTGGGCATCTGGCCTGCCCCGGGAGGGAGTAAAAACAACCAGATTACAGCTCACCTGCTGGCTGCGTTCCGGGTTCTAGGCCAGGAGGAGAACCCCAGCTGGGAGCACATCCTGTTCACTTGCTGCCACAACCAACACCTGGCCCTGCCACCAACCAGGAGGCGGCTGCTCTCCTGGAGCGACAACTGGAGGGAGATTATAGACAGCAAGAGGGGGGCCCGCCCCAACAGTGGGTGAAGGACGGGAGGGGCACAGGCAATCCTCCAGAGCCGCTGACTTCAGCCCAGGGAGACACTGGACCCTCTGCTGGCACAGGCCTGGCCAGCTGGCACCTCCGGGGGAGGCTACAGCTGGTGCCTGGCTGGCATGGAAGCAGATTGACAAGGAGTGGGCGGGACCACTTTTAATAAAAAACGCTGACTCTGTCTTTTGAGACCCTTTATTGAAGCGCAGCTGGACCAGGGCCCGATGAGGACGCCTGACCCTTCCTGGGCCAGCGGAGGGCCGACGGTAAGGGACGCGACAAGGATGCTGATCCCCACATCCCCACAGCCCTCAAGAGCCTCTTGCAGCACTGAGGGGGCGGAGGGCGCAGCTTGCGGGGCAGCCACGGGGCACTGAGCAGACAGCGTGGCTCCACGGGCTCAGGCCTTCATTTTGAGGTGCTGTCGCCTGCACTGGTCACTGGTCTGTCACTCAAGGGCAGCAGACTTTTTTTTTTATCTGAAAGAGACAGAAGCTCTTCCAGCTGCGGGTTCACGCCTCAAATGGCTGTAACAGGTGCAGCTGAGCTGATCTGAAGCCAGGAACCTCCTCTGGGTCCCCCTTGTGGGTGCAGAGGCTCAAGCCCCTGGACTGTCCTGCTGGGTGCGAAGTGGAGCAGCCAGGGCTCAAACCTGTGCCCGTATAGGATGCCAGTGCTGCAGGCTGCAGTTTAACCCTCTGCAGCCCAGTCCTGACCCCACCTCTCTCTTTCTTGAGAGGAAGTTCTTCTGACTGCTGATTCACTCCCCAAGTGGCCACAACGACTGGAGTTGTGAGAATTAGGGGCTGCTTCTAGGTTTCCCATGCGGGTGCAGGGTCCCAAAGCTTTGGACCAACCTCTACTGCTTTCCCAGGCCACAGGCAGGAAGCAGGATGGGAAGCAGGGCTGCCAGGACATCCATATGGGATCCTGGTGTGTGCAAGGCGAGGACTTTAGCCACTAGGCTATTGCATTGGGCCCCTACCTCTTTTTTGATTCTTTCTGGCCGTGCCTAGCAGACAGTAGGGCTCCATGGATTGTCACCGTCCCGCAGCGATGGCTTGGTGCACGGGGCCGATTATAATACGTGTGGACCCTGACTGATGGTCAAAGCTGAAGTTTATTAGTGGCATCGACTTTATACACTGAGGGTCATGTGGGATAAGGGAGGAAGTATTGAGCATCAGCAAAGCCCAGTAACAGTGTCTGCTTTTGTTTGGAACGCCTTTTGTCTTGTATATTCCACCAAGTGTTCTCACACACACACTGTCCACTCAGCTGTTCTTATACAAATGATCTCCCATCAGGTATACAAAAGGTGGCCATTCGGTTGTTCTCATGCACATATTATCCAATCAACTGTAATCCTGTGCTCCCTGACCCTCTAGGGTCACAATGTCCTCCTACAATGGATGTTCACGCTGTACCCGGCTCTACAACCACCTGGCACAGGTGCCCAGCGTGGAGAGCTGAACGGGGGGGCGGGGGTCGTGTCACAGCTCCCCGAGATTCTGATTCCTTTACCCACAGAGCTCATTTCTGTTCCTCAGAGTAAATGTGGGCCCCTGTGCAGGAACCAGCCCCTGGTCGCTCCAGTGCAGGCAGCTCTGCCCAGCTGGCATCTGGGGGTCAGCAGTAGGGTGGTGATGCCAGCCCCACGGGTCTCCCAGTCTGGCTTCTTCATCTTGCGCCTTTCATCAGAGAAGAACTCGCTGTTGACAGGTGGAAGCAGCATCAACCTGGCAGTGTATGTGCAGGGTTGCTGGGCTCTGCCCATTTCCTGTGCCCACCCAGGACTGTGATGGGTGGGTCAGGAATGCTGTGGGGGTTCGGTCCTCGGCAGCGGGATGCCCAGGGCAGAGTGCCCCTGTTGGCTGCGTGCCTCAGCCACTTGGCTTGGGGAGCAGAGGTCTTCCAGGAAGATCTGAGCCAGGTTCCGGAGCCTCGTGTTGGCCGAGAGAGAGAAGCGCAGCATGCACTGGATGACAGGCATGGCGGTGAGCTCTGGGTGGGCGCTGGGGCCCGGCGAGCCCAGGTACATGAGCGTGGTGACGGCGGACAGCACTGTCTCCTCGTTGGTGCTGGCCAGGCAGTTGGTGATGAGCGGGACGCCGCCTGCCTGCAGGATGTGCTCCTTGTTGGCCCTGTCCACACACAGGTTGCAGAGGCCTCCTGCGGGAGAGCGAGAGTGAGTGGGGCTCCTGGCCTGGAGAAGCCGGCCCCAGGACAAGCTGTCCAAAGAAATTCTGGCATCCTACCACCTTCTCCAGGTTCCAGAAAGGTCTTCTTGAAGTGGGCAAATTTCCCTTTTCATCTTGGTTCACCTGACTTGGTGGCAGACATGTTTTTCTTTTTAAAAGATAAATGAACAGTGGGGCTAGTAGTGTGGCAAAGCAAGTTAAGCTGCCACCTGTCCTACTTCTGTACCCGCGTGGGAGACCCAGAAAAAACTCCTGGCTCCTGGCTTCAGATCAATGCAGCTGTTGTGGCTGCTGGGGAGTGAATCATCGGACGGAAATTCTTCCTTTCTGTCTCTCCTCCTCTCTGTATATCTGCCTTTCCAATAAAAATAAATAAATATTTAAAAAATACACAAATCTTTAAATAAAATACACAATATTATTAACATCACTTTAGAAGACTTTTTAAATTAATTTCAGGATTTTATTTTTATTTTTACATACATGTAAAGTGATGGTCTTATAGGTCTTCATGTGTTGACTCACCAAATTGGACCCTTAAAAAGTTCAGCTTATATGCCAATCATAGCAAAGCTATTAAAAACACTAATGTAGCTAACGTGCAAACCAGGAGCCCTGTGCAGATGCCACTGCTGCTGGGAAAGCAAAGCAGGCTCTGCAAGGAGGCACCCGTGTGCTCGGCTGGTCTGGCCACACGCCTCCCCCATTCTCAGCCCAGGCCTCCTTGGTCACCCCTGGGCCTGCTGGTCCTGGGGTGTCTGTCAGGACAGCTTCCTGAGCTGACTCAGCTTCCGGCCACTCCCCACCCCAACTTTAGGTTTCTGCTGGCAGGAGGAAGTCTTGGTTCCACCCACTTACATAAGATACCCAGAGGGTCTAGGGACCAATCAACAGTGAGAGTCAGCCCTGCTCACTTCCCTGTTTCTCTGGAGGCTCAGAAAATAAACTGGGACCCCTGGTGTGGTGGCCTAGTGGCTAAAGTCCTTGCCTTGAACGCCCTGGGATCCCATATGGGTGCCGGTTCTAATCCCGGCAGCTCCACCTCCCATCCAGCTCCCTGCTTGTGGCCTGGGAAAAGCAGTGGAGGACGGCCCAAAGCCTTGGGATCCTGTACCCACCAGAAGAGGCTCCGGGTTCCTGGCTTCAGACTGGCTCAGCTCCGGCAGTTGGGGCCACTTGGGGAGTGAACCAACAGATAGAAGATATTTCTTTGTCTTTCCTTTCTGTAAGTCTGACTTTCCAATAAAAACTACTTTTTTAAAAAAAGACCACACCTTGCTTTCTCATGGAATTATCTCCCTGCTCAGAGCTGCATGCCCTCCTGTTCTCACAGAACCACCGAGTGGCTCGTGTCATTGCTAAATGCTGAACTTCTAAGAATTTCTGCCCAAAGCTGTAGGTTTCACTTCGGTTGCTAGCTGGCATTAAGTGTCTCACGATATTGGTATCCATTCTGTGATTGACTGTCCCTGCTTTGGGATTATTTATCATTAGATTGGGGGCGGTTCTGTCTGGATGTGTGTGTCTAACCCCCATCCACAAAGCTGCTGGGTGCTGGCTAAAGCGTCCCGGGAGGTGGCACAGCCTTTACCTGAGGAACACCACCACCTTGTGGCAGCTACACGTATTGCAGGAACTATAATACAGGCAAGGGAGTTGAAGCTTTTTTCACTTGAGTGCAAGTAATGAGAAAGACAAGAGATCTTCCATTTGGTGGTTCACTGCCCTGCAACAGCCAGGTCTGAACCAAGCCAAAGCCACAAGCCACAGGTGACAGGGTCTCAACACTTGGGCCATCCTCTGCTGGCTTCCCAGGCACAATAGCAGGAAGCTAGAACAATTTCACATGCAATACCAGAATCATTTGCAAGTACTACCAGAACTGAAGCAGTTCTTCCGGGGTATTTATTCTCTCCTGGCCACCGCCCGCCTCCTGATGGCGCCTAGGAGAGCGCAGCTGTGTTTGACAGCACTGCTTTGGGCAGAGTCCCTGTGGGGCTTCCAAGAGGACTCCTGCCTTCATCCGGGGCTTCAGCCCAGAATTCCTTGCTTCCTTCTGTGAGGATGCTTTGCGCCTGCTTCCTCACCAGGCATATGTCCCCTCTGCAACGTCCGGCCCGACCAGCGTCATCTCCCAGTGACAGCAGGGAGGACTTTCAGCAGCACTGACCGACTGATGCGGAGGACACGCGCGCCCTGGACGTTGGGCGGCAGCGGGGCACCCTGATGCCCGATGAGCTGCCATCTCGACTGAACTCCTGGCCCTCAGCTTTGGCCAGGCCCTTGCCTGGATGTTTCTGTCATTTGAGGAATACATCAGCACGTAGAAGTTCTGCCTGCCTCTCAAATAAATGGTTTTAATTAGTTAAAAATTCATAAAAAAGTAAAGAAAAACTTACAGAGAGGCCAGTGCTGTGGCCCAGCAGGTTAAGCCACCCACGTGACACAAGTTCAAGACATGGTTGGTCCACTTCCGCCCCAGCTCCCTGGTAACACGGCCCAGCGAGCAGTGGAGAACGGCTCCAAGCACTTGGGCCATGAGACATGTCCCACTGCTGTCCCAGATGTGTCCGCAGAGAGCTGCATTGGAAGTGGAGCAGGTGCCCACATGGGATGCTGGCACTGTGGGCAGTGGTAGCGACTGTTAACGCTAGCCCCTCAACGCTCAGCTCCCATCAAGCTAATGCACCCTGACAGGTGACTCATGATGGTCCTAGTGCTTGGGGTCCTTGGTATCCATCCATGAGACTGAGATTGGGCCTGGCACGATGGCTCAGTGGCTAAAGCCTTGCTTTGCATACACCAGGATCCCAGATGGGTGCTGGTTCATGTTCCAGCTGCTCAACTTCCCATCTGGCTCCCTGTTTGTGGCCCGGGAAAGCAGAGAAGGATGATCAAAAGCCTTGGGACCCTGCACCACATGGGAGACCAGGAAGAAGCTCCTGGCTGCTGGTTCCTGGTTGCTGGCTCCTGGCTTCAGATTGGCTCAGCTTCTCCAGGTCTCTCACACGGGTGCAGGGTCCCTAGGCTTTGGGCAGTCCTTGACTGCTTTCCTAGGCCACAAGAAGGGAGTTAGATGGGAAGTGGAGCAACTGGGGGATGAACTGGCAACCGTATGGGATCCCGGCAGGTGCAAGGCAAGGATTTAGTCACTAGGTTATCACGCTGGGGCCCATAATTTATTTTTCAATTTTATTTGTTTATTTTTATTGCAAAGCCAGATATATAAAAAGAAGAGAGAGAGAAATATCTTCTATCTGATGATTCACTCCCCAGGCGGCCGCAATAGCTGGAGCTGAGCCAATCCAAAGCCAGGAGCTCTTCTGGGTCTCCCATGCGGGTGCAGGATCCCAAGGCTTTGGGCTGTCCTCCACTGCTTTCCCAGGCCACAAAGAGGGAGCTGGATGGGAAGTGGAGCAGCCGGGATTAGAACAGGCACCCATATGGAATCCTGGCACGTTCAAGGTGAGGACTTTAGCCACTAGGCCATGGCGCCAGGGGCCCATAATTTAAAAGAAAAAAAATGCTTTCATATATATTTACATTGCTTTAAAAAGACCAGTCTCCGGGCCCGGCGCGGTGGCGCAGTGGTTAAGGTCCTTGCCTTGCACACCCGGGATTCCATATGGGCACTGGTTCTAATCCCGGCAGCCCCGCTTCCCTTCCAGCTCCCTGCCTGTGGCCCGGGAAAGCAGTCAAGAACGGCCCAAAGCTTTGGGACCCTGTGCCTGCGTGGGAGACCCGGAAGAGGCTCCTGGCTTCGGATTGGCTCAGCTCCAGCTGTTGCGGCCGCCTGGGGAGTGAATCATCAGATGGAAGATCTTCCTCTCAGTCTCTCTCTGTATATCCTCCTTTCCAATAAAAATAAAATAAAATCTTTAAAAAAGATTAAAATAATAGATAAATAAAAAGACCAGTCTCCAAACTGATTTCTATATAAGAGTGGGGGAACGGGCCTGGCGTGATAGTACAGCGGCTAAAGTCCTCGCTTTGAGCAAATCAGGTTCCCATATGGGTGCTGGTTCTAATCCCAGCTGCTCCACTTCCCATTCAGCTCCCTGCTTGTGGCCTGGGAAAGCAGCTGAGAGAGGACGGCCCAAAGCCTTGGGACCCTGCACCTGCTTGGGAGGTTCCTGGCTCCTGGCTTCGGATGGACGCACACCGGCGGTTGCTGTCACTTGAGGAGTGAACCATCAGACGGAAGATCTTCCTCTCTGTCTCTCCTCCTCTCTATAGATCTGACTTTGCAATAAAAACAAATCTTAAAAAAAAAAAAAAAAAAAAAACAGCGGGGGGACGAGGGCAGCACGGGTCCTGGCGTGATTCCCAGACCCCTCTCTTGCCAGCTGTGACCTGGAGCAGGGGGGCACCCCGCAAGCGCGCCCTTACCCATGGCGAACTCCACCAGCGTCTCACTCTCCTCCGACAGCGAGTCGAGGAACAGGTCCACGACCTGCAGCTGCCGCAGGTACTCGTAGTTGCCGGGGTCGTAGGCGAAGTTGGCCAGGTTGGCCAGCACTTGCTCCTTGGCGTCTGCAACGGGAAAGCCAGGCTGCATGGCGGGTCCCTCGCGGCGGCCCCCGGCGCCCGCCCCCGGCCCTCACCTCGGCTCGCAGTCTCCTGGAACTCGGTGACCAGCGCCTGCAGGTAGCCCAGCCGCCCGACGTGGGGGTCGACCTTGGGTTTCTGGGCCATGGCGGGGCGGCTGCGACCACCTCACAGCCGGGAGTGGTAGGCGGGGTGCGACCCACGGGAGAATGGGACTAGAGACTCGAACCCGGGACTCGCAGCAGCAGAACTCCGCATGCCGGCGCCCAGCCGGGACTACGCTTGACAAGTGGGCGGAAGTCGCGTCAGTCCGGCCTCCCGGCCAGGGCGGAAGGGGCGGGGCTGCACGCGGCCCGGCGCGCGTGCGCGGAGCGCCCCCAGCGGCGTTGCACTGGCCGGCATGGGGCTTGCTATGGCAGGAGCAGAGATAGCCGTGCCTGCGTGGCGTGGGCATCTTCCCCGGCGCGCCCACCTCCGCGGCGGGCAAGGAAGGCCCCGAGGTTTCCCTCTGGAGTCGAGGCAATGGCGCCCTGCTCTCCCTTCGGTCCTTTAACATGCGGCTTGGCCCCAGCCTGGAGTGGGATCTCAACCGGCCCCTGTGGAGCCCGGGAAGTCCAAGTGCTTTGGCCCGAGTGCTTCTTGTGGCTTCCTGAGCGGGAGCAGCACCAGAAGAGCAGGAAGCTTGCTGCATTCCCTGCCCTGGTACCCGGTGCCCTTGGCCCTCGTGGCCGCCCCACTCCGGCCTCCTCCAGCTGCGGGTGACCAGCCCCGGCCCCATGCACACCTTGTGGGCAGCGCTTCTGACGCCAGCCGCGGGGCCTGGAGACCCTGGCTGCCCTGAGGGTTTAGTGGGGAGCTGGGTGGCCTGGGAAGGGGCATCTCGGCCAGGGTGACCCGGGGACTTGGCTGCCTCATGCTGAACAAGAGCAGCCAAAGCTTATAGAAGTGAGCACCACGCTGGGATCCTGTCTAGAACATTCCCGGAGAACCATTCACAGGTTCTAGTTCGGCTTAGGGCAGATCTTCCTCTGCCTCACTTGGGCTTCTTGGCACCCTGTGGATGTTTCAGAGACGTGTGTGGAAGGGCTCGTGCCCCCAGATGATTGCCACTCTTTCCTGGAGGGGGCAGATGGGTTTCTATAGTAGTGAAGGGTCACACCAACCCCCAAGGCACCCGCGCCAGCTCAGGAGCAGGGAAACGTGCCAGTGACAGCTCAGGCTGTGGGGTGGTGGCCACGTGTGAGCCTCGGTGCAGAGCAGAACGGCCAGGCTTCAGTGCCCTCTCATTCAGACTTTACAAACCGGAAGACTTAGCTCATGCAGTGAGGTTTCCCTGCGTTCTCCAGGAGCTTTGCCTGGAGTCAGCCCGGAAATCCCATCTCCACCTGGGGTGTTTGGCTTTGCCGCTTCGCTGCCACGTGCACTCTGGCCATGAGGGGGCGCTCGTGGCAGATGCCTGCAGCCGAGAGCTTCTTCATGCCAGCGCGCTGAGCTCCGTCGGGAAAATAAAATCAGTATTCCTGGTAACATTTTCTTGCTGGAGCCTGAATCAACACAACAGGCCCTGAGCCCGAGCAGTCCCTGCCAGGCGGGGGGCGGGAGGGGGAAAGGAGAAGGGGGAATTCGCGCCAAGCTTGCTTCCTAGCTTTATTAGTTCAGAGGTTATGACTTGCTGCAAGAAGTGTTTGTTGAAATTCAAACACACTCTGTCTTTCCCCATCCCCTCGTTTTCCTGCTGGGACAAGCCTGGGCTGATGGTGGCCAGCACCCGGGCACCAGCAGTGTGTGTGTGTGTTGGGGGGAGGGGCTCTGCTCTCCCTGGTCCACCCCCAGCATTAATCTTCTCTACCGAGGATGGAAGGAAGAGCTTGAACTGGGTCTAGCTGAGATGGTGGGGAGTCCCACAGATCCCTGGGCCTGAGCCAGGGCTCCCCTCCTGCTCTCCTTATGGGTGCCAGGAAACGCACCCACCAGATCTGTAACCTGTCCCCCTCTGCACCAGGGCCCGACCCCCCAACCCAGCCCTTCCCTGGCACCGCTCACAGGATCTGGAAACTTGGACTGGAACAGTGACCCCTCCACAGCATGCCACCCATTTGCTATTTCTGAGCGACTGGGATGGGACACCTGGGAGGATGGGAGTGAGGCTCTGGGAGAAGAGAATTGTCTGGAAGCCCAAGGAGCCCAGAGCGATGACATCAGTAGTTTCTTGTTGGCCATGGAGGTCCCATGGGTTGTTGTTGGAGCACCGAGGTAGTGGCTGAGCTGATTGGCCAGGACAAACCTGAACAGGGTTCAGATCCACCTTCCGGGGTCCCAGGTGCCCTGGTGCCGTAGGAGGAAGTCAGGAAAGCCATCCTCTTGCAGACCCCACTGCACGGAAATGCCCTGGGCCAACCACTTCCAGGCCCCTAGCACCTGGCTCTGGCCCATGACTGGGTCCCAATTTGCAGAGCTGGGACCAGCTTTGAACCCAGTCTTTCCTAGGCTGCCCTTCTCAGCCCCTGGCAAAGCAGCTGGATGCTGCACAACTCCGCAGAGACGGTGGCCGTCCACCGGTCTCAGTGCTCTGACGCAGGTCACACTCGTGCCCCGAGGGCTCAGAGGTTGGTTACGTTTGTGTTTTCAGGACACAGCTGCTTCTCTGGGGTGTCCTTGTCTTTGGGGGTGTCTCCTTGCGCCTTGCTTTGCCTGCCCTGTTCTCTCTTCTGGAGGACATAGAAGCTGCCCCCCATGAAGAGGGCGGTCAAGACGAGGATGAAGGTGGACAGGTAGAACAGGTAACTGAAGTTGTTGGTGGCGTCCAGGAGGAGCCCTGGAGGAGAGAGAGCAAGTGAGAGCACCACCCTGGGGCTGCCAGGCCTCCCTCCCGTGGACTCTGTACTCCGTAAGCTCAGCAGTTTGATCATCCAGAGCATCGGGGCTGGCACCCGAGACATCCAGGAGCTATCTGCTGGATGAAGGTGGGGTGGAAGCACTCGGTGTCCTTTGACCTGGAGGAAAGGAGTTCTGTGGCCAGAAGAGAATCTAAGGTGACTCCTCGGCCTTGGTGGCCAGGGTGTTTGCTCAGCCACCTCCCAGACCCCACCCCTCCTGGGTGGTTCTCGCCACTTCTTGGCTTAGAAAACGATCTCAGAAACTGGGACTTGCAAAGCAACGCTGGGGTGCACGTCCCGTGTCTGACCGCAGGGCCTGCGCACGGCTCACTTGGAATGTCACGTGTCTTACTGCCACACTCAGTTACGTTCGCTCCAGCATACATCACTGGCGGGGTCACAGGCATGCGTCTGCTCCACCTCCACTGTAAGTAGGGGCTGAAGGGCCTGCTTGCAGTCACGTGGCTGCAGGTGGAGGCGGCAGAAATTCTCCACAGTTTACAAGTGCCATGGTGTCTCAGGGCGCAGAGGGACCATCAGCAAACACGTGCCTGTGCCTGCTGGGTTCTCGATGAAGCTCCTCCTAACTGCGTGACTGCAGAGCCTCCAACAGACCCGGGGGCACCCGCTGTCGCTACAGCATACCCACTTCACTGATATGCCAATCCAGTGCTTTGTGGCTCTGCAGGGGAAGCTGCCACGTGCTATGCCAGCCAGCACATGGTATCAGAGCCAGTATCAGGTGCCAGTCCTGGCAGAACCACTTCTGTCCCAGCTCCCTGATGATGTGCTTGGGGAAGCAGAAGAAGGTGGCCCAAGCACTTGAGCACCTGCTCCCACCTGAAGGACCGGGATGGAGCTCCAGGCTCCTTACTGTGACTTGGACCACCTCTGGTGGTCACAGCCATTTAGAGAGCGATGGGACATTCTCTCCCTCTCACCCCTTCTTTCTCTCACTCTTTTCCTCCCTCCACTCCCCTCTCACTTCTCTCTGCCTTTCAGGCAAATAAAATGAATCTTTAAGGGAAAAAAGGAGAAAAAGAAAATCAGGGGCCAGCACGATTGCTCAGCACACTAATCCTATACCTGCAAATGCCAGCAACCCATATGGGCTCAGCTTTGTGTCTTAGCTGCACTTTCAGTTCAACTTCCTGCTTGTGGCCTGAGAAAGCGGAGGAGAATGTCGCCAGTCCTTGGGTCCTGGGAAGGTTCCTGGCTCCTCCTGGCTTCCGATCAGCTTAGCTCCTGCCCTTGCAGCTGTCTGGGGAGTGAATCAGCAGATAGTTTTTCTCTGTGTTTCTCCTTCTTTCTGTAAACCTGCCTGGAGGTGTTACCAGACTAGGCCAACTCTGGGGCGACTTTTCCCCCTTTGCCCTACTCTCCTTCCCCTGCCCCCACCCCCAGGCCACATTTCCCAGGGTCTCACCTGCCAGGGGCGGGGAGATGAGGGCAGCTATGCCATCCAGGACGGTGGAGAGGCCCAGGGCACTGGGGAACCGGTCCATCGAGACGATGTCCATGAGGACCTGGAAGATGAGGACGCCAATGCCACTCATGGACACGCTGTACAGCAGGCAGTAGGCCACCAGTACCCGGAAGTCAGCGGACGCTGCACCGATCAGGTTGGTGAGCCCGTTGAGCAGGACTGCGAGGCTGAACAGGTACTTGCGGTAGCGGGCCAAGGCCCGGTGGCCCATAAACAGCCCGCCCACGGGACGCAGGACGATGTTGCTCAAGCCGATGATGGACACGAGTAGGGCAGCCCGGTGCTCGTCCACGCCGTGCCACATGGCGTAAGGGACCAGGAAGATCTGAGGCAGTGGGAGGCCCATGATCAGGCACATCACGCCCACGGTGTACACGCAGTAGGCCCGGTTGTGTAGCAGAATGTCGAAGGCCAGGTGGCGCTGCACGGCCCGGCCGCAGGCTGCCAGGCAGCTCTGTGCAGGTGGCTTTGACAGTGGAGGAGGGGCACTTTCTGTAGTCTCAGAGGTCCGGGTGGTGGTGGTGGCCACTGGCCTCAGGAGGGCCCCGCAGACGCAGCCGTGGAGGAGGACCCCGCCGAAGATGAGAAAGGAACCTCTCCAGCCCAGTTCCTCCAAGAGGTAGCGGGACAGGAGGGGCCACAGGGTGATGCCCAGAGAGGCACCCGCTGACGCCAGCGCGTTGGCCAGCGCCCGCCGGCGGACAAAGTACAAGCCCAGCACCGTGATGCCCGACTGGAAACTGAAGCTCATGCCCAGGCCTGTGGTGCGAGAGGGGAGACCAGCTCAGGGGAGTGCCCTGGCACACCAGTACCCACCTTCAGTTGGGCCTCCGTGTCCCTGAGGGACGAAGAAGGCCTCAACCACAGGCAACCCCCTTTTGATCTGATTTCCCAAAGCTGTCCAAGGCAATCCAGTTCCCTTCTCATGGCACCACATTACCCGTCCACCACAAATATGTATTTATTTATTATCATTTTTGTTGGGAAGTCAGGGAGAGACAGAAAGTGATTTTCTGCCTGCTGTCTGGCTCACAACGAAAAGCATTCACAACAGCTGCAGCTGGACCAGGCTGAAACCAGGGGCCAGGAGCTCCCTCTAGATCACCCACGTGGGTGGCGGGAGCCGAGGACTCGGCCATCACCTGCTGCTTCCCAGGACCCACGTCAGGAGGAAGCCAAAATCAGAAGCAGAGCCTTGGTGTAAACCCAGGCACTCTGATGAGGGCTGTGGGTTAGGTCACAAGCAGTAACTTAGCCAGCTGTGCCACAGTGGCAGCCCTCACTGGCCATCTGGCCTGCACTCTGTCCTGACCCCTGCTTCCTCCCCATGCGGGCCCTGGGAGGCGGTGATGATGACTTGTTGAACTGTTCTTGCCACTCATGTGGGAGACCTGGCTCGAGTTCCTTGTTCCTGCTTTTGGAATGAACCAGGGAATGGAAGCTGTCTCTCTCTGTCTCTCTCAGCCATCTAACCCTCTTTCTATGCCAACACCCCTCCTGGGCACCGGCATGTCCTTCTAGTGCCATGCAAATACTGGAGACCTCTGTCATCCACACTTGCCTCCCCTTAGTGCTCCCATCGGGCCCTGCCACCTGTGCCAGCCTGGCTCTGCTCACAGCCTCCCATCCTTGTGGGACTCAGGGGTGGGTCTGGCCCTCCGTCTTTCTGACTCCCCTGTGCTTCCGTACCTTTTACTCACTATGGAAGGAGAAATGATTCTTGCTTCTCCTTCCGCCTCTCTGGCCAATCCTTCCTGGCTGGACCACTAGGCGTCTTCAACTCCCCACCCTCCATGCCGTGGGGACAGCAGGCAAACCTCTCCTCTCTGTGTCACCCACCGCATAGCTCTGAAGGGCTGGCTCCAGCTTGCGCCTTCTGCTTGACCCCAGACTGAACACGCCCAAACTGGCCTGGCATCTCCCCAACCTGTCCCTCCCCCATGTTCTCCCCAGGGACTTGGGGCAGCAAGTCATGGGGGTCCTCTGTTCTGCGCTCTGGCAACCTCTTCCAGCATCTCACCTGTCTGTCAGAACCTCCCCACCGCCGCACACGCCCTTCCAAGCACTCCACCCCCATGCTGTTCCCACCCTGGCCACGTCACCGCTACGCCCTTCCCCAGGGAACCACTTATCAAGTCTCCTCACCTCAAAGGTGTTTATCCGTGTCCCCCCTGCCCCGAGTGCCCCATTGAGGTAGCGACTCCCCAGCCCTGCTCTTGGCTGCCTTGGATGTCCTGGGACTTCACCTTCCTTTACTTTCCTTGTTTCATATCCTGCCAGCCCTCCTGCCCCCAAGGCCAGGAACCTGCCACTCTGTCTTCCCAAGCATCGCTGCCATCATAAATACTTGAACGTTTTCATGTATTCGTGTGGCTTTGTGTCTGCCGCACTTGGCTGTGAGAGTTCTAGAAGATTAAGAGGCTGGTCCTGGGGAGGGCAAACATTTTAAAGCGGCCACTTGGAATGCCCACAACACACATGGAGAACCTAGGTTCAAGCCCCAGCTCAGCCCCTCATTCCAGCTCCCTGCAGCAGGTGCCTGCCTCCCGCACAGGAGTGCTCGACTGAGTGCTAGGCTCCTGGCCTCTGCCTGGCACAGCCCCACTTGTTGCAGCTGTTTTTTTTTTTTTTTTTAAAGAATATACTTATTTTTATTGGAAAGGCAGATTTACAGAGAGGAGATACAGAGAAAGATCTTCATCTGCTGATTCATTCCCCAAATGGCCACAATGGCTGGAGCTGAACCTATCTGAAGCCAGGACCAGGAGCCAGGAGCCCCCTCTGGCTCTCCCACATGAGTACAGGGTCCCAAGACTTTGGGCCATCCTCCACTAAAAGCTTTTCCATGACACAGGCAGGGAGCTGGATGGGAAGTACAGCATCCTGGACATGAATTGGAATACATATGAGGTCCTGGCACTTAAAGTCGGAGGATTAGCAAATTGAGCCGTTGCACCAGCCCCTGTTGTAGCTATTTGGAAGAATGATCCAGTTATGAATAGAATCAAAGTCTCCCCTCTTCCCCCAATTTCTCTGTCTTTATTTGTAAAATAAATTAAGGTGGAAAAAGTGGTTTGTTTGCCCTGTGCACGTGCGCATGGTCTGTTTAGTCACGATGGAATGGCGGTCACCTGTGATGAATCCTGCAGTAAAGTAGAGCTGGCCGAGAGTGCTGGAGAAGGAGCTGGCCACCATGCCCAGGCTGGCCAGCAAGGCCCCCAGCATCATGGTCACTCGACAGCCAAAGCGTCCCACCAGGATGCTGCACACGGGCCCTGTGGGGAGGAGACGCCAACAGGTGGCAGGTGAATGGTGGAGGGAGAGTAATGACGGGTGAGGGAAGGAGACAATGGGCAGAGTCGGCTGGGCAGCTTCTCCAGCCCTGGAGCCTGTTGGCCTGGTTTCCCAACTCATCTCGTCACGGACTAACTAACCACGTGTTTGAGGATGACCTGATTTCGTGCTGTACCTCACTTTCCCCCCACAAAGTGAGTGGTAGGATTGGGTGGTGTTTGACCATGACAGGGGTCCCTGTGGGACCCACCCTGGCCCTGGGCTGCACTGACCGAGACGGATTCCAACTGGGTGAAAGGGGACTGACTCATCACCTGTGGGGATACTCGTTGTAAGGGGTCTGTATGTGTGTGTGTGTTGGTGGGGGAGGGCTGCATCCCAGGGCGCCCTCAGCCTCTGTGTCACTTGCCTCCTCCCCTCCAATCTTCAGGGAGATCTGGCCACAGCCCTCTTTTCACTTTCCAACGAGCAGGAGGGGGGGACCCTGGGCCATTCTGTGCCTCTTTGCATTGGTCTCTGGAATGTTCTGGAAAAAATCAGGTGGGATAGCTTCTCCTCTCCCCGTCACCTCCTGACACCAACAGTCTGCATGGGGACTTTCAATTCCCTGCGGGCCCCCCGACCACCTACGTTCTCTCCAGCCTGCACCTGAGCAAGCAGATGCCAGCCAGTTCTTCCTGGAAGCTCACAGAGGTCTCCTTCCCAGAGCACCCTGCCCCCAAGCACACGTCACGGGGCTTGTCACAGCCCTAGGGTGCACCTGCCATTGCCTGCCATGTGCAGTGGAGAGGGGAAAAAGTGTGTGAGCCAGCGTGGGTGAGAGCGGGGGGCGAGGAAGCAGCCCACTGCCGGAGACGACCACACTCAGGCTGGGAGCAGCAGGAGAGGTGAGGGTGGACACGCCCCCATCCACAGGTCCTGCACCCTGAGCTTCAGGGCTGACGCTGAAAAGGCGACTCTAGGGAAAGCCCTGAGTCATGCAGGTGGGGCGGGGCCTTGCAGGCAGGCAGGTGTTCCCTGTGCAGTGGCTCTCACCCTGCTGCTGCTGCCACTGTGGGCCGACCTTGGACCCTCTGCCTGTTTATTCTCCAGACCTCTCTAAGGTACAGGGACGGGGAGGGCTTCAGTCATGTTCAAGTTCAATACGTCTATGACATCCCTAATGAGCCTCAGCTGGAGGGGGGATGTCTACCACCATGAGATGGACACACAGGAATCCCACAGCGACTGGGTGCCTGCTAGGGCGTGGGGAGCCCAGAGCTCACTGTGCAGGAAGGGGTCCCCACAGGTGTTCAGCTCTGGTGGCCAGCCCCTTCTGGACCTGACTGAGAAACAATTACCCAAGAGCCCCATTACCTTCCCCAATCCTGCGGGCCAAAACGAAGCTGGCAAGCTCTCCCAAGCTGGGAAGGTCTTCTAGGGCCAGGTGGAAGGGGTGGCAGCAAGGGAGCTGGGGTCAGCTGGGGCAAGATGAAAGGGGGGTGTGGAGCACCCCCATGAGTTCGCCCTCTGTGGGAGTGCCCCCTAGGAGCCCCCAGGGTCGAGGACAGGCCCCTGTGCTCCAGGACTCTAGTAGAGAATGTTCCATGAATAGTTCCTGCCCTGTTTCCATCACTGGAGAGGTGTGTACATCTCTGGGATTCCCAGCCAGGACCCAGGGACGGCTGACAGAAGCAGAAGGGGGAGATTGGGGTGCCCCAGCCCCTGCCAACCTCCTCCTGCAGGGAGTCCCCGGGGACAATGCTTGCTCTTCCCCTTTCTTGCTTTAAGATTTTCTCTTACACATCTGTGCTGATAACTCCTAGGCCGGCTGAGTTCCCAGCCCCCACATGGTCTTCCCTGTCTCCCATACGGGAGATGGGCAGAATGTTGGGTGTCACTCCCATATTACAGACACAAACATTGAGGTGCAGGCAGATCGTCTGGTTTGGACAAAGGCGACAGAGCCGTGGCCGCTGCTACTGGCAGCCACCTCCTCCCAGTCTCCACACACACTTTGTTTGGCTCAGGGGTCTGCGAGGCCCCTCTAGGGACTGTGCCTAACCCTGCACCCATGGTGCTTCCCACTCACCCCATCCTCAGCCTAGCTGGACTCTAGCCAGGGGCCGGACTTTGCAGAAATCAGGGGAAATCTCAGGAATTCACCCAGGAGGCAAAGCTGGTGGCCTCCTCCTCCTCCACGGCCCCCTCCCATATCCTCCTCCTCCCCTGGCCCCTCCCCTTGCTGCTCACCTCCAGCGTGGAGCATAGCTACCAGGATGGAGGGAAACCAGGAGGTCTCGCTGTTGCTGGCCTGGAAGTCATGCTGTAACTCGGTGAAGAAGATGCCGATACAGGACGGGAACCCCAGGGTCAGGCCCTGGGTCAGCACAGCAGCCAGCAGAACGACCCAGGCCCAGCTGCCGTCTACTTGCTCCAGGGCCCGGGGCATCCTGTGGCCAGCACCACTGCGGTCCCACTGCCTGTGGAGGTACAGAACAGAGCCCCTCAGTTGGCAGGCTGCCTGTCCTCCCCTGCCCTCCTGCCACCTGCCCTGGGTAGATCAAACTGCTCTCTTCCTTGTGCTGCAGCACCAGGCATCACCTGGGGGCACCGCCCCCTGGGAGGTGGCCAGAAGGACTCAGCATCTCCTTTCACCCACTTCCCAGCCTGGCAGGAGGTGGCAGGGGTAGGGCCGGAAGTGCTGGGCTGGTGGCATAAGGCAAGTGTGTAGAATTCTTCCCAGGTATTACATCACCTGGCAGTCAGCAGGTGAATCGTCCTTGGAGCAGACCTCTGGGGCCAGGGGAACGCCAAGGTCCCCAAAGGCACAAAAATGGGACACTTTCTCCAATACTTGTGGCCAGGGTTCCTGCATAGACTTTCACAATGCCACCGTCCAGTGCTGCTGCGAAGGCCAGAGTGAGAAAGCTTGTGCTGTGTGCAGCCAAGCGGCAGACACACAGCCAACAGCTCATGGGGACACCCAAGCAGCTGCTTTCGAGGATGAGGCACGGTCGTACGGGATGGCCGTTGGAAATCACCCTACATGCTCCTCTTGCAGGGAGCTCAAGGCCAGAGTCACACCCTGCAATCAAGCTGAATAGTGAGCCACTCTGAGCAACCCCAACCTGGTCCACGCACAGAGACACGGCCGTGGGCACACTCACAGCCACAAGCCAGGACACACAGACCTGCATGAGGGCACACACACACAGGCATACCTGGGGTAGACAAACAGCCGCACACAGTGCAGACACTTCTAGACCTACACACAGAGGCAGGGACAGGCATGCCACACACACACACACACACACACACACACACACACACCCCTAGTTGTATGCCAAAAGTGCAGGCATACATACCCTCCCACCTCTGGCTCAGACAGGTGTGTCCTGCGTGTCAGTTCAGCATTGCACTCAGGCCACACTCTTCCCAGAGGGCAGCCTTCAGTTCTCCTCCCTTTCTAAATTCACAGCCATTTCCAACTCCCTCCCTCCTTTCTGGACTCTGGCTTCCTGGTGCCCCCACACTCTCTGGCCTCACCCACCCTTGTGGTTCCAGGCCGCTCAGCCACGGTTCAGCCAGCTCATCCCACAAGCTGTGCTTCTCACCACAGCCTCTCTCCCTTTGGCTCCAGGTCCTGGGGAGATCCTTGGAAACTCAGGAAACTGCCAGAAATATGAAACCCCCTATTCCTGCCTGGCCCAACCCCCACACCTTGCTCCTGGACCGGGGAGTTTTTCAAACAGGCCTAAGCTGGATCCACCCTACACACTGCACTCTCTCAGCTCGAGTCCTCCCCTCCCCACAGGGCTCCAGGAGCCCTGCCAATGTGAGCGCAGTTATCACTGCCTCAGTGTGCCTGGGAGTGGCAGCCCCAGTGTGGGCACCTCCAGGCACGCTTACCCCCTGCAGGGCACAGGTGGCCCTAGGGACCCTTCAGCCCCCAGCTCCCTGCTGGCCCAGCTCCAGGCCCTTGGGGATCCCTCCTGTGTAAACGAGCCCCACACCTCCCAGGAGTTCTGCTACCCTGGCAAATGCAAAGGTCATGGTTGCCACTTGATCCCCCAAGCTGTCCCAACGTCAAGTTTCCACACCCTTCTCCGTGGCGCTTCCCTCCCTCAGCATCCCCAGCAGCCGGGCTCTTGGCCTTCTCATCTGCTCCTAGGAGGCCCCCCTGCCCACACCAACCCTTCCCCACCCCTGCTGCTCCAGCCTGGGCACTCCATCTGCCCACTGACCAGCTGTGGCTCCTCTTGCTACTTCCTCCTCCTGCCCCCTCTGGGGCAAAAGTCTTTCTCTGTCAGTGGCCTTGTTTGCAGTTGCCTTTCTGGACAGCCTTTTTGGGGACCAGGCTCCTCTCCTTCCCTCCAGAACCCTTGGTGCAATGGATGGTGAGGCTGAGTAACCCCAAGCATCTCTTCCATTCAGGAGGTTGTTGGCCTGAGCCACACGCCAACCACCTTTTACTTCACCTGTGCTTGGTGGGAGCCCTCCTTCTCCGAAGTCTGTAGACCCTCCCCAACACACACACAGAGACACTTGGCATGCCCACATCTGCAGAACTTATGGCTAGTTGGTCAACCAGCATCCACCCCAGCCTGCTGGGTCTTCCCTCTGACCTTGGCTGCTAGGATTCCAGAATCTCAGAACATCTGATTGGTCCTTGAAGATTCAGCCCTGGCAGCATCTCTAGTATGCCACTCTGACACTGCTCCCCGCCGCCCCCCCGTCCCACTCATCTCCAGCAGCGCCAGGCCACCTATCCGTGTCTTCTCTCCAGTGTTATTCACACCACACTGGGACAGATTCTCCCCTCTTCCGACATCACCCCCCCCGCCCCCGCCGATCCCTTCTACACTAATAGTAGGGGTTCTTTCATGCACTCCCCGACTCAGCACAAAAGGGTACCCACCTGTGGTACCCACCCAGGTGGTAGGCAAGCTCAGGAACAAGGTGACTGGGTTTCCTGGCAGGCAGGTGCATTCTGGAAGGGCCCAGTGCACCACAGAAGTGGTGGGGCCAGAGCTCTGAGTGTGTGTCCTTGGCACAGGGAGCCCTAAGTCAGTGCCCTGCCTGGTGTGTGTCTGGGTGAGCAGGGAGATGGGGCTGAGACCTCGCCCCTCTCTTACTCTTGGAATGGGGCTGAGACTGGATCACAGGAGCTGCCAACCTCTGCTCTTGGGGACTCCTAAGCCCGGTGAGACTGGTTTTTAGGGCCAGGAGTCGGCAGATGGGTTTGAACACAGAACCAAAATCTAGCTGGTATTTCTGGTCCTGCTCTCAGCCACAAGCCCCAGTCTGTGTTTTGGGGGGCTCCCCACCAAGTCACAGGGGCCACTCTAGGTCCTCAGAATCCTATCTGCCACTGTCCTACGGTCCTTACAGACATAAGCACAGGGGTTCCAGGGTACGCAGGAACATGTTGTCCTGGGGGAATGGGGGTGCTCTGTCTCAGATCCCAATTGGAGCAGATTTCTGACCTTGAAGCCCCCAGGAGTGGGGAGACCCACCCCCACCACCCTCAGAAGCAGGAGAGCAGCAAGAACCTGCCTAAACTTGGAGTACCCAGTCAGCCCACAGGAGAGAGAGGCTGGGCAGTTTCTGCCCATCCCCCATCCTCCTCTCCCTAGAACTCCTCCATGTTCTGCTGCCCAGTGGGCCACAGCTTACTTGGAACGGCCTGGGCAACAGGAACTTCCTGAGCTCCCCTGGTCCTGGTCCAGTCACTGCTTCCTGCCAGGATCTGGGGTCCAGCCAGCTTTGGAGGGGGAGCTGTCCTTCTTCCCCAGGCTGTTGAGGGCAAGGAGTCCCTCAGTGGGGGTTCCCAGTCGCCCCAGGTCCTGGGAGCTGGCCTGGGTCCAGGAGAAACGTGACAGGGAGACCTCTGGGTCACTGAAACCATCCTCCCCTGCCCCAGGAAGGGACCCAGACGATCATATTAGCAGGGTCCCTGGGCTGGAGCCACTTCCGGAGGCTGTGCCTGCTGGCCTGGGAGAGATGGCTGGCTTTGTGGCCCGGCCTGTGCTGTGGCAGCGGTGGCAGGAGGGCTTGGGATGGTCTTGGAGGCGGTGGGCAGAGACCCCACCTTCCAATCTCTGTGGCACTTCCGACCTTTGGGGCAGCAGCTTGCAGGCACACGGAAGGTCACCTGGGGTCCCATTGGGGTGCAGACAATCCAGCAGCCCCTCCGGGCTCTGGACGCTGCCTGATTGGAATAATTTGCATGTTGTCAGCATTCGATTTGCATAGCCAGGACCACAGTCCTGTGAAGGGACTGCAGTGTGACCCAGAGAAGGGGGGATTAAGTGGGCAGAGGCTGATGTGGAAGATCCCTTCTTTGCTGTCTTTCACTGTCCCTGGAAGTGTTGCGGGGAGGGGATGCTCCAATGAAAACCTAGAAGGTTTATTTGTTTGTTTTAGATTTATTTTGTTTGAACCGTGGGGTTAGAGAGAAAGGGCGATGGAAAGCACTTCCACCCGTTAATTCAATTCTCCAGATGGCAGTAACAACCCGGAGCTGGGCCAGGGCAAAGCGAGGAGCAAGGAGCTCCATCCAGGTGCCCACGCACTCAGGCTGTCTTCCGCTGCTTTCCCAAGTACCTTAGCAGGGAGCTGGATCGCAAGTGGGGGCCGTCAGGACAGCAGCTGGCACCCATATGGGATGCTGGCTTTGAAGCAGGAGGCTTTCCCGCTGCCCCAGAAAACCTAGAGCTTTGAGGGTTTTATCCATTCCCCTCCCAGCCCTGTGGGTCCCCTTCCAGGATGCCTGCCTCCTTTCAGAACCACAGCCTCTTTCCAAGTTTCTCCCCAAGCCAGCCAGCCCCTCCATGTTCATTATGTAGTCAGTCTGACCCAGCCTGGCCCAGGGGTGGGGTGGGAGACTGCTGTGGATGTCCAGGGAGTGGACCAGCAGACGAAAGGTCTCTCTGTCTCTGTCTTTGAAATAATAAATTCATTAAAATGACTGCACTTAGAACAGGCAAGACTATGTGCTGCATCAGAGGGATGGAGCCTACCCCTTACAATTGCAGGCCACGCCCCAATCACTGTGAAAAAGAAGAAGCCGCATTGGCAGAACTCTGCATGAACAGGAGAGGCAACCTTTACTCTGCCAAAGGTTATTCGGATATGTACAATAACCTCATTCTTGGGCCATACAAAAATATCAACTTAAAAATGAGCCTGCTCTAGATTTGTTGAGTTTCCAGTCTCACCGGTGGTTGCCTTGGCAGGGCCAGATCAAACGTGATAAGACCTGCAGGCCTGACGATTCCCCCAAAATGAAGAATGCTGTTCTGTCTACCTCTCACGGGCATGCGCCCATAGACCACAACACTAACAGCTAAGATTTGAAAGTTTTTTTTTTAAAGATTTATTTTTTATTATTTTTTTATTGGAAAGACGGATATACAGAGAGGAGAGACTGAGAGGAAGGTCTTCCGT